ATATTAAAGCTGATCTCCCTGTTTTTAAACTTAGTTTACTAAGTACTGTTGTCTTTTTGCAGTTTATAAACCATTGTGAAATATACAGTAACTTTACATTTTAGAATTGAATTATTATTTTAAAACTCAAGAATCTTAACCTTTTTTAACACATAGTTTGTTGGACAGTCTGACCTAAGCATTCTAATGTGTTAAAAATAGTTTGAAATATGAAAAACAATATCATATTTTAAACTTTAACTTAAAAACAAAAAAAGGTGTCTCCCTTTCAGCTGAGCAGTGCCAGCCGTTATTATTATAGATTCATGCACTGGCAATTCAAAATACAGATAATATACAAAATATACTTAACAAAATCCACGTATACGTGAGAAAACAACTTACTTTCTGTCTCCAACTCTTTTCAATGTGGAAATGATACATCTATATCTAAAAACTGTGCAGACTGTGTACTTACTAGAGAGGGTGATTCCAAGTAAATAAAGCAGGGCAGCGACAGAGGTACAGATTCAACGTCATATCAACGTCTGGGAAGGCCTTGCTTTACGTCCAGATGCACACCTTACGTCGTTTAGACGTGGAAAACAGGTCCTCGACCGAGCGACTCACGTGTCAGGCTGTAAAGCTAATATACTCGCGCGGCGCATAAGTGTGCGTCGGTTGTTTAGGGTGTTATCTATTATTTTTTCACAGTAGTCAGAAAAAATGCCTGGCCGTGGTGTAGTGGTTGCGTAATGAGACTTCAGTCCCAACGACGCGGGTTCAAATCCCCGTCGGAAAACTTTTGACTTTTCACTTTTTAGCGAACAATTTCTCTGTTTGGTTAAAAACGAATAAACACTCAACATAAGATTATGTAGTGGCTAATAATAAAACTTGTGAACCCATGCATTTGCATAAAATCTCAAGTGCTCACCCCTTATTTGCAAACTTGAGATTGTTAGCACAACAACTGCATACATTCACAAGTTTTATTATTAGCCACTACGTAATCCTATGTTGAGTGTTTATTAGTCTTTAACCAAACAGAAAAAAATTGTTCGTTAAAAATCAAAACAAATATGTAAAGATAATAATACACACACGTGGGCTCAAACTCACGTAACCAAGGCTGAACACATCTGCTTAACCACTACACTACCGTCAGGTACACTTCAGTTGCTTTACAGCCTATATATTGTATTGCTAGATCAAGACGTACTGCGTCGGTCGGCCGATGACCTGTTTTCGACGTCTAAGGGAGGTCGGGATTGAACGTCATATCCACGTATATGGGAGGTCATTGTTTTACGTCCAGATGCGCACCTTGCACAGACGTCGTTTGGACGTAAATAAAAGGTCACGACCGACCGACGCGATATTGACGTGATCTGGAGGTTGAGTGGACGTCGGATGTTTATTGGGTTCAAGGTCTAAAAATAAGATTTTCTATAAGGACTATATTTTGACTTTGTCACTTTTTGATGCTTTGGGCTGAGAGCTGATTGGCTGAGTGAGGGTGGTCTCTCTCTTTCACTTTTCCGCCGGATAAAGCTGATCTAAAGATGTGACAGAGGTCAAAATACATACATGCATGTGAAAACTAGTGATAGAGCCAAACTGTTTTGAAGGCCAATAACTACTTGATACACAGTTCAATTGTTGTTTGAAAGATTGGGACCCTAGCTTTATTCTTGCCCAGCACTCAAGCAACCTATGCCCAAAGCCCCAGGCCTTGACTAAAACAGGGTGCATGCAGATGCTTGTTGGAAGGTGGGGGCCTTTATAGCTTCCTTTGTAATCTGATTGGAGCAGGACGTTAATCAGTTTCAGTGCCTGGCTCATTAACTTGCACCAAATAGACCTGACCTCCCAGATGAGGCTCCTGACCCTGGGACCTGGGCAAGCAGCTGGCATAGGTTTAATGCTTCAAAACAAGGCTTAAAGATTAGATTAGTAAGAATTAATTGTAGATGTTGTTTGATACAGCCAAACAAGACAACCAGCGCCCTGATTGAGGCCCTTCGTTTGCTTTGAATCTGAAGTCGTGTTTAGAGGAGATTTGTAATGTAAGCTTTTGCATTATTCATGAGTTTCTGCGCAGAGAGCACCCACACTCAGCATGCGTACGCGGAAAAAAGTGCATATTAATGTGCACTAGTATGTCAACCCCGCCTCAGATCTGCCTTCGCTATTAATTATTACATAGTGCAAATAAGACTTCCTCCAAAGGGATTCAGCAACATATGTCATGGGCTACGAGTGTTTCAGGCAGAGCAGTTATATTTGGCAAAACAACTAGAATCAGTGCGTGACTCGCAATTTAAAGATAAATTCCTAAATTTGATAAATAATAAAGAATCAATTCAAATGGTGATTTTATTCTGTCCATGGCAGAAGATTCTTCTCTCTTTTCCCACTGGATTTTTTTTTGCATCGTTCCTTGCCGATGCAGACGGGCCTAAGGACATTGGTGATCCAGGACCTTTAAGGACATTTATGGACATTTGGGCACTTTTTATTATATCTGTTAACAAAAGTGGCCCTCATGTGTTTTTTACTGTCTATTATGTGTCCAGGCTTAATTGTTAAAATGGACAAGTGGACACATAGTTTTTGTTCTTAATAGTATGAATATGTTTTTACAATAAAAAAAGAATAACCCCAACACTGGTATGTCATTCAGTTTGACCTCTATCACTGAAACATCTCTTTCCTGTCAGCACTGGTCCTATCAAGTCTCCCTTGCTGATGGATGAGTAAAAGTGTAAACCCTTGTAATAAATTGGTGTGAAGATTGATTTTGCGTCCCGGCCTATGTGCTCTCGCCGGTGAAGTGGCCACATGGTCCTGGTGTGAGCGATAAGAGACCACCTGGACAGACACGCACAGGTTAAATCTCTTCTGAAGTCTTCTGAATTATGCACCCGCTGTCGACTCTCTTCGAACATGTGTCACTGTGCATGCAAATACAGCAACTTTACATAGCGGATTTAAATATTCTATATCCCTGCAAATAACATTGAGCTTTTCCGCAGCAAAAGTCAAGTCCGTGCCGACCTTTCTCCCATTACAGCCACCGCGCGCGCAGCAGACGGCGCCTTTGTCCCGTCGGCCGCCTAACGGGTGTCACCTTTCGCCCGGGCTTTCATCTTTTAATACAGGCAGTGGTCGGGGAACCCCCCACTCTCCCCCTCCTCGGGTCCCGCTGTGCTGCTGTGGTTTGTGGGGAGGTGGAGGGTGCAGAAGGCAGTGCACGTGCCAGTGTCTTGGGGGATTAGGGCATTATAGGTGTCTGGCCTCCTTATTCTGTTTACAAGGCGAGTCAAGGGACAACTGGTGGCTTCTCTGTCTATATGTAGCAGGCAGTGGTAGTAGTGGGAGTAGGTAGTGTTTGTAGATAGATAGATAGATGGATTAATAGATAGATGGGTAGATACTTTATTGATACAAATTCAGGTGTCCAGCAGCATCCATACGAACAAATAAATACATAATTCAAAATGTTATTCACAATAGTAATAATGCAACAGCACTTTCAGTCACAGAAGCAGAGGTGGTGTAGCCTATAGTGTAGTTAGTGTTTTAGGGGTAGTTAGGAATGGCAGTTTAGTATTAGTTAGTAGTAAATAGTATTGATGGGTTGTGGTTAGTATTATTTCTTTGAAGCCTGTCTCACATTTTCAGGAAGACTGTTCCAGATTTTAGCTGCATAATTCTTAAATGCTGCCTCCCAATGTTTAGTTTTGACACTGAGCCCCAGTAGCAGTTATAGTAGTTGTAATTGTAGTAGCAGTTTTCGCAAGTAATCTCTATGGAACTTGTTTGTGAAATATTTTGAACTTTTTTTTTTTCAAAATAATGTTATTGTTTATCATTTGTGAGGCTCCTCTTGTGACCTAAGGGCCCCATGTAGCCGCTCACTCTGCCCTTAGCGTAGAGCCGGCCCAGGTATAGGTAGCTTTGTTGAGTTGTTTTTTTAAATCCCAGCAGCTCTTTTTTGTGAATTTGTCCTTTTGTTTTAATAAAACGGTGCTTTTATAAACGATGAGCTCATTAAACGTCTCAGCTGCGGCTCCAGTGCCTAAACGCGCTCTCGTTATTATACTCCACCACAGCACTTGGATGTTGCAATTAGAGAGATAAGTGGGCCTAATGCCTTGTTTTAAGGTTTTTTTTAATTGGCAATCCTTTTTGCTCATGGCTCTATGCCCGGAGTAGCACTTACCTTTCAGATTGATACATGCAGAACTCTACTGGGCCAAAAGCTTGTGAGAGTTTTTTTTTTTAGTCCTGACGCAGGAGCCGAGCGCCGACACAGATTGTTGCCCACTACTGTTCTGTGTGTGAGCCATCCCTCCTCCGCTCCATTCTGCCGGGGATGGAGGACGTCATTGATACTATAGCCTCTGCCTCTGCCTCGGTCATTGGTCCACGTTCTACAGCCTGAGTCCTGGATCTCCGTCCTAGAGCGGGACAAGAGCGAGCCGAGGTTGTTGCACTAAAGTGTGGATTTGTTGTAAACTGATGGATTTCAAAAGGAAAAAAGTTCAGGATGACAAGGGACTCTAAAATCCACACAAAACCTGACCGTTGTGAAGGCAGTAAGTTCCCTGTCAGCTGATCCCATCAGACCTCTCAAGCTAAGCAGGGCAGGGACTGGTTAGTACAGTGATGGGAGACCTCTGGGAAGCCCAGGCTGCGGCTGTAAAGAGCCAAATTGTCATTGTGTCCTTAGGCAAGACACTTCACCCACATTGCCTAGAATGACTCAGTGTGGCCCAGGGCAGCTGTGGCTACATTAGTAGTTTATCACAGCAGTGCCCCCTTGTCCATGTGGAGAACCTACAGCAATACTCTATCCACATAATATAATACATTCATGGTGTGGATGGATTCAATATCAACTCCAGGTCTGGTTTTGACGAGGAACAATAGTGCAACATGGTAAAAAGTTCAAGTGTATTTTAAATTCATACCAGTGTAATTGACACGTATTTCTCTTCTTCTTCTTCTTTCAGAAACACGAGATGGTGGAGCTGCAGAGGAGTCAGCTGCGCGATGACATCAAAGAGTACAAGTTCCGCGAGGCCCGTCTGCTGCAGGACTACTCTGAGCTGGAGGAGGAGAACATCTCTCTGCAGAAGCAAGTGTCAGCACTGAAGCAAAGCCAGGTGGGAGCCCCGTCAACCCACACACGACTCTGTTATTAACCTTTCTTAATTGAAAACATTGTATTTGAGATTGGACACAAAAAATATAATCAACATCAATAATCATTGAATGGTCGTAGCAATTAACAAATCGCTGAGACTGCAATCATTCTGGTGACATTCTTTTCCTTTGCAAGCTTCATATCATGTTGTTGTTGCAAGAAAAATCTAAAACAGACGTGTTATACCTACACATTTCTAAAATAACCACATGAATGCTTGAAACTGGAACCGATAGTTTTTCTCTGCTTCTAATTGGTTCCATTTTTATATCACTGTTTTATATCATACTGTACAGTTATGATTGCACATGGTGAGAGGCTGAACTGTTGTCTAAAATTATCTTATTAGATTTTTCACTCAGAAAACCTGTTTAAAAATACACTGTATTCCCACAAGTCGTATGAGAGTTCTGTTTAGTATTCAAACCGCTGCAGCTGATTAGACAAACAAGAGTTGTTGCAATGTTTAACTAAATCAAGTTAGGTTTTTCTCCGCCCACAGCACAGAATCCGCCTCCGCTCATTATCGAAGGAGAAATACGCGTTCGACGATACGGCAGCCACAAACCAGGTTTCTATAGCGATAAAAACCTGCTGCTTTTGAGAATAACGAGCTCAAAACACAGAAAAGCTAAAAAAATCCAATCCACTTTTTCTGTTCAGCACTTTTTCATAAACAGTTTCCAAAGTGCAAATTCAAACACAAAAATAAAACACAATAATTAGCTATGAATGAAAAATACTTACATGAATGATAGAATTGTTGTTTTGTATTGTCCTGATGAACATTGTATTGGCATAATTGTGGAATCAATCTAATCAAAAAATAGTAAAAATCTATTAAATAGCTGTTTAAAAATGTAAACACATAAAAAAAAGACCAAAGAGGACCACACCAATCAAAGAGACGAAGGACAAAGCTGAAATAATCGGATTTCATTACGAAGTGGGGTTTTCGTGCCTGAACACTTTCCCCCATGTTCTTATGACTGGGATTATGAGTTTCACATTAGTCACGGGACGTTTTTAAACAAAAGAGTAAAATCCGCTCTCGCTTTCTCAATATTAAAGGATTTTCATTCAAAATTAACTTAAAGCTAATTAGCGATGGAAACAAAGAGGATATTTCACGGATTAGCTCTTGTGCGTACAGTATATACAGACCCCAGTGACGCAGCGTATATAAGGCACTCTTTATTGGCACTTATATCTCCAATATCCCGGCTTGATTAAAAAGTAAATCCGCGTTTGATTGTGTCCAGGTGGAGTTCGAGGGTCTGAAGCATGAGATCCGGCGGTTGGAGGAGGACACAGGCTTTCTGAACAGCCAGCTGGAGGACGCCATCCGCCTGAAGGAGATCGCAGAGAGGCAGCTGGGAGAAGCTCTGGAGACCATCAAGACGGAGAGGGAGCTGAAGGCCTCGCTGCGCAAAGAGCTGTCCCATTACATGAACATCGGAGACACGCTTTATCACAGGTACGAGCGGGAAAGAGGGGACACATGCAGGATTAAGGCTGTAAATGAAAAAAGAAAGTTCTCTCTATTACAAGATATGCAAAACTTGGCTGATATCAACCCTGAATGAAAGAAAATTTGACTTTTTCTCAAACAAAGCACTTCTGTAGCTACTTGCAGGATAATAGCTAATTCAGTTCAATTCAATTCATTCTTGTATAGCCCTTAATCACAACAGCAGTTATCTCGGAGGACTTTACACAACCGTTGAATTTGAAACGCAGATCAGGGAATCAAACGGTTAATATTAAAAATTGGTACTGACCCATGAGTGGCAGATTACCAATGTCCATAAGTGTTGCCAAATGTCCATAAACAACCACAATTATTCACATTTTGTAGCAATTTAGCTGTGATTGGACATTTTTTCCCAGGCCCTTATCTGGTATCGGTTCATATCGGGCACAGGCTGATATTGGATTTTATTACACTGATAATTTCTTTGTGATTAGAAATTTTTACAAAAGATTTGTAATGTCCAATGATCATTTTCTCATCAGTTGCCATTATTGTATGCAGTGATTCAGACAGAAACAATCATACAACAATAATCATACAAATTCATATAAAACAGTAAATGGTCTTAAACATGGCTCTTTTCCTCTGCAGTCCTCTCAGCATCTCTCTGGACGGCCTCAAGTTCAGCGACGACTCCTCCACTGAGCCCAACAACGACGAGGCCCTGCAGGGCTTCGAGAGCGGCTTCATGAAACTGGCCAGCACCATCGCCGAGGACAACCGGGCCTCCACCCCCACCAAAGAGGAGCACACCCGGCCCGCGCCCAGCCTGGTGGACGACCTGCTCAGCGAACTCAACATCTCTGAGATCCAGAAGCTCAAACAGCAGCTGCTGCAGGTCGGTGTACAAAGAGTCAAACCTGGATCCTTTGCAAAGTTCGATTTTATTAGATGGCACGCATGTAAACCTATAGAGCAACTTTAGGTCATCAGACTTGTCCTGGGTCCTACAACCCGAATTGCAAAACTGTTTTGACTGGATTAGGCTTGTTCTGAGCTTTAAAAAAGAGCTGAAGTTGGCTAAATGACAAATGTTTACTATTGACTGGAGTAGGGATTCGCACATCGATACCTACAGATCGGGTGCGTAGGAGGAGAGGCCTGTATAGCCTAATGTCAAAGAGAGAGAAATCCCGCACACCGTCTTACTTGCAAATTAAAAATTATTTATTTAAAGTGCTGCAACGTGTCAGCGTTATGCCTTCATCAAGCATTGATGAAGGCATAACGCCGAAACGTCGCAGCACTTTAAATAAATGTTTACTATTAACAGAATTTTGTGGCACATTCAAAAACAACAAATGTCAGTTTATACAAATACAGTCAACAGCTGAATTCTAGAGGTTTTGAGCATTACAACGAGGTTTTTGGTTGAGCTGAAGTTGGCTGGATGACACTGTGAACTTGTGTTTATGATCTCAAAGACAGTGGCAGAGGGCCTCATAATATGACACAGAGGGCCACAATTGACCTGTGGGCCCTAGTTTGGACACGCCTGATTTTGTGTAACTGGATCAAATTGCTTACTTTTTTGTTATTTGTTATTTTGTCCAAACAAGTATTGGTTCCTTCAGGTTAAATAAGTTAAATCAGAAATCAGAAATCAAAAAGATAATCCCTATACAAACTTATTCACTGCAAACTCTATTTGATATAAATTCTGAAGCCCTTCTTGAGTCCTTTTTACCAGTAGTCTGTACCTAGTCTTGGCAATGGTCCTGGTTTGATGGGCGACCTTCCAGGACCGAGGCAGGTACAGTTGGAGCTCTTCCCTGACGTGGGCTGCTGCTTGACTCCAATCCCTTTAGCGCAGAGTTAATCCCTCTGGGCCTGAAGGCTCTGAACGCTGCAGGACATGGCACCGGAGGAGCTGCCATCTGCCCTGCCACGCCTGCTCCGCCACCATGACAACCAGCAACCACTAACACCCCGAGCTGTGTCTGAGACTGTGGGAGGCTAAACTGGAGTAAACACACAGACTGGAATCTCACATGAGCTGCATCTTGTTTTCAGTTTAGGCCTGTGCAATAAACAATAAAACCAGGATAACTTACTTTCTTATTAACCACAACGGTCTTCATCTTAGTAGAAAACATGATATATTTTGCATAATTGTAAACTATTTGCTGATTGGCTGAGTGAGAGTGGTCCTCTCTTTTACCTTTTCAGTCTAAAAGAATGATCTAAAGATGAGACAGAGGGCATAAATACATCTATGTGAAAATTAGTGATAGCATCAAACTTGTTTTAGAGCCAGAGACTAGAGACATGGGTTATTAATGACATAGTTATTTATAATTTGTGGTTTGAAAATGGGATATGCTGTTCTATTTGATTTTCTTGTATCAACGAACCCAAGTAATTTAATCACCGACATCCAAATAACCAAATAAATTTCAGCTGCCTCCGTGTAAAATGAGCTGAAAATAAATGTTCCGATACTTACTGTATGTGCGCAGAGTAAGCAATAAGACCAACATTTGACTCTTGTTCAATGCAGCTTGTGGTTTATTTGTTCTATAAATACTTGTTTTAATATTGTAGAATTCATTATCTCTAAACTTGAATATAAGAAAATGTGCACTTCAGGTGTTCCCAAGGCAGCGAGAGACAAACTTTAGCTCTGTTTTCTTGTAATATTCTTGAGACTGTATTATTTCAATCCAACAGAATGCTTTAAATGTACATGCGTTGACTGAAGTAACTGAAAGTACAATAGTCAGTCTTTTATCTTGATAAAATGTGTGTTTGAAATATATTATAGATCATATCTGGCGTACTTTAAACCACAACAAATTGGATGTAATAAAATCCATCTCACTAGTTTTCACAAGCATGTGTTTTATGGCCTCATCTTTAGATTCGCTTTTTCAGACAGGATAGTGAAAAAGAAAGGTCCACCCTCACCACCAAACAGCTCAAAGCATCAAATAGTGACTCAAAGGGATCTTTCTTACAAGATGCAGACAGCACTTGTGGTCTGTTGGGACTAACATATATTTTATTCATAAAACAAAGTGCCTCTCCTCTCATCATAGCCATACTTTTCCCTGCTGTATCTTAAACCCTCATGCACCACTGAGCTTGTTATTAAACTTCCATCTCACACTTTCCTCTTCAGATGGAGCGTGAGAAGGTGTCTCTGCTCTCCACGCTGCAGGAGGCTCAGAAGCAGCTGGAGCAGGTCAACGGCGCTCTGTCCGACCATCAGGAGAAGGTCAGCCGCCTCACGGAGAACCTCAACACCATCCGCAAGCTCCAGGCCAGCAAGGAGCGGCAGTCTGCCCTGGACAACGAGAAGGAGCGGGACAGCCACGAGGACGGGGACTACTACGAGGTGGACATCAACGGGCCCGAGATCCTGGAGTGCAAGTACAAGGTGAGCTGGGTACAAACTCGCACAGTTAGTAGTCTGAGCAACTCCATGTTTTATACCAGAAAAAGAAGTGCAGTGTTCGAATCCCGGTCAGAAGAGGGCCTTTCTGGGTGAAGTTTGCATGTTCTCCCCCTGTCTGTGTAGGTTTCCCCTACCACTAAAAACATGCACAATTTGTATGAATGTAATGAGTGAGTGAATGGATGGTGTTGGGGTTGTTGATGCACCAGTGTGTTTAGCGTCTCGCTTCTCTCACCACCAAGTGTGAAGAGAAGGGAAAAATTGAGTACTTACTTATTTACTGAATAAATCATGTTTCTACTCATGTCTGATGAAGGGTAGTGACCCGAAACGTCACAACAGTTTGTGGTGATAATTAAAATCACTTGGGAGCTAAAGCTGTGCAGAGTCTTCTCCATTTCTTAAATCATGTTTCTAACCTTGACATTACTATGTTATGATTGTTGTGTTCATGGAAGTTCCAAATTTAAATGGGAGTTACTTTACCAACCCTCACACAATCTGTTATAAATGTTGACACTTATCTAAATCCCTTCCAAATCTCTTGAGAATGAGCAGAGGCCTATGGAGCCTTGTTGGTTGAGGTTTTGTGGAGCAGGTCTCTCACTGTGGCTCTCCTCTCCCAGGTGGCTGTGTCCGAGGCTGGGGAGCTGAAGGAGGAGCTGAAAACTCTCAAAGCAGAATACCAGAGCTGTCAGTCACGCTACGAAGAGGAGCGAGCCCGACTGGAGAGCGACGTCACCACGCTGGGAGAGAAGCTGGCCGCGCTGGAGAAAGTCAGCAATGCCGAGAGAAACGAGAAGACCAGGCTGGAGAAGGAGCTGCGCAAGGTCAATACTACTAACAATTCATAATTACTCATTAGTATAGATGCGAAATACAAACAACAAATCTATCCAACATATGTGAGCCTTTATGAAGCCAAATTCAAATTTTAAGAATAATCCTACTTACTGCTAGTTATTACTCTAATATAGGACCTAAAATAGAACACAGTCGATCAAAGTGCACACACAGATTAAACAGAATGGATATGATACAACAGCCACCTGATAACGTACTGACTGATACTAAGATGATAACTTCTGACACATATTGGCAGAAACACGTTCACCTCAGTTGGACAAATTATGTCTTCTATCAAGTGACCTTTACCACTATGTGCCTTCAATTATAGCCCTCCAAGATGGTTCTATATTCTATACAGCAACCTGGCTTCACAAAAAGGTTAGCCTTACCCCATTACCTCATCACAGGGCTCCACATTTCACCTCTGGATGTCATTTTGTTTCTTTTGATCTGAAGAAATGATTTTGCATTCTAAAGTATACATTCTCAAGATCATGTTTAAAAGTCATACTTAAAAGAATGTGTGTTTTCGACAATATGACCCTGTAGACTCATCTAATACCATGTTCTAAAGTAATGCATCAAATAAAGTCCTTCTTCTTGCTGTAACCATTACCAATAAGAATAAGAGGAGAATAGTTAGTCCAATGGTAAGGATTTTAATCAACTTTGTCCAATCAGGAAGCTGTAGGAGTGAGCATAGGAGGGTTCATGGGTGGGGCTTGAATTCAAAAACTCTCACAATGAACACAATAATTAATCACATTTGTTCCATAATATGGGAAATATGACTATGAATTGAATACCTAATGTTCGCGTTCCTTCAGGTGAGTGATGTGGCGGGTGAGTCCCAGGGCAGCCTCAGCGTGGCGCAGGACGAGCTGGTGACCTTCAGCGAGGAGCTGGCCACGCTCTACAACCACGTGTGCTTGTGCAACAACGAGACGCCCAACCGGGTCATGCTGGACTTCTACAAGGAGGGCAAGGGCGGCCGCAGCAGCCCGGAGGGACGTGGCCGCCGCTCACCCATCCTCCTCCCCAAAGGCCTGTCCCCAGACCCGGGTTACTACAGCGACAGCTCTCCTTCTCCCATCTCCTCGACTTTGACCTCGCCCGTGTCCGACCACCGCAGAGAGCCGATGAACGTGTACAACCTCGTGGCCATCATCCGGGATCAGATCAAGCACCTGCAGCTGGCCGTAGACCGCACCACGGAGCTGTCCCGGCAGAGGGTGGCCTCGCTGGAGCTGGGCATGGTCGGCGACAAGGACAAGGAGGCGTGCATGGAGGAGATCCTCAAACTCAAGTCCCTGCTCAGCACCAAGAGAGAGCAGATCGCCACGCTAAGAACCGTCCTCAAAGCCAACAAGCAGGTGGGTTTGACTCATAGAGGTAGAATAACAATGCTAACTCCTGAGCTCTATGAAGCCTAACTAGGAAGTGCTCATAGACATAGTGTTGCTTTCACTTACATAGCAAGCTGTAACCATTTGCGCCTCACCATTTAGGGCTCCAAAACCTGTTTTAACACCCTATATTATCCTGATGTTTTTATTTTCAATTTAATTAAAATAATTTTGTATAGACCTAAGGGGGAGAAGGATTACCAATGTCCAAATTTGGATAATATCTTTGTAAATCCAGTTATAACTTGGCCGATCAGGTTCTTGAATTTGGCTTTAGCTTGCGAGAGGGAACAAACTAGCACCTCTCATGATTGTCGCATTGGTTGCCAAGTCGTTTCTATCTCAATATGTTTTGTGCTCCAGCAGAGAAATTGTTTTCTTCCTGAAGAGGCGATTTAGAATTGTTGTTATTTTCTGCATCATCATTTTGCACAGTTAGTGTAGTGGCAGCAAAATATATTCCAGGATATATTGTACATAATCTTAAAACTTTGTGGGTGGTGTCAGCACTCAGTCCGTCCACTCCTTCCACAGTGTATGGTTTTACTCCTTCGACATCTGTCTTTTGATGCAGTCCAAAGCATTTGTCGGTATTTCTCCAGTAACACATACAAACGGGCTGTGGGCTATTTGCAGTCTTTGCAGCTGACTTTTCGAGCAAATGGTGAACTAGAAAAGACGGCAGCTGCCCTCTTTTTGTGCGGATGGAATGTCGAGATACCAAGGCATGGATGAGTGATGCATCGCTTAGCCCCAATAGCGCCAAAGCAGTGACACTGAAATTGCCAACTCAAGGTCATTACTTAAAGCTGGGTGGCTTGCTTTCAAATCATAAACAATTAGAATATGTCATAAAATCCATATAACTATTTTCTCGCTTAAAGAGTTCTATCACTAGTTTTTACATGCATCTGTTGCCTCTGTCACATCTTTAGATCAGCTTTTTCAGACAGTTAGAAAGCTCCCAAGAGTGACTCCCAAGAGTGACTCCCAAGAGTGACTCCCAAGAGTGACTTTCAGGGTTCTTTGGGTTCTTTGTAGCAAGTATGCAATAGATACAATGTTTTCTTATAAGTTGTTAACAGAATTTTGCCTTTACAAGACTCTTTCTGTTGGGGCAAAACAAACTAGATGGGTATCTCAGTGAAAAAAGCGATTTTGATCCCACAACTGTAATAACACAACAGCACATTTCATAATAACTTCCGCTACATGATAAAATTAGAAAAATAAAATCTTAGTATCTTCTTGTGCCTGTTCACTCGTAGACCGCTGAAGTTGCTCTGGCCAACCTGAAGAGCAAGTACGAGAACGAAAAGGCCATGGTGACGGAGACCATGATGAAACTGAGGAACGAGCTGAAGGCGCTGAAAGAAGACGCCGCCACCTTCTCTTCGCTGCGGGCCATGTTCGCCACACGGTAAGAAACCTTAAACTGCCACCGGCACCAGGCCAACACACTTCACTTATTGTCACTTCATGTCCAGGTGCAATGAGGCCAAATTTCACATCAGTGTCTTCCTGATGTCTTACAAGGATTATGTAACATTTAACAACGTTGCTCCCTTCGAAAAATCGTCACAAAAATTGCGTTCATACAATATTTACAAAAGTTTCCTTGTTAAGTTTGTGATTTATCTAAGAATTGTGTGATTTGGTTAAAAAACTGAAATTGTTTTGTGCTGTAGCTTTCAGAATTAGGCCCCTGGAATACTTGTTTAGTCCATCCAACGTCAAGAACTTGGCAAAACTGGAACAAACACGTCCCCTCTAGCCCCTTCTTTCTGAATACCCAGTTTTCTAACTCAGTTCACTAAGATACATCTTCAGCCTATGACGTCATGGACAGAGTTTTGGGATATTTCTCCAGTCAAAATCACGTTCTTTATGTACATTGTGCCGTGTTAGATCTACATGGGTGTTTTTCTCATTCAGGCCATCTCTTATTTGAAAATACAAGGATTTCACATCTTTAAACCTCAAAACAGTAGTACATACTGCATTGACATTCTTTTTAATCTCATGCACACTCAATATTCAATAACAACAGGGTGAATTTCAGATTAAAACCTGATATCAGTGTCTACCATATGCCGCCTTTGTTTTATTCCTGTATTAATTGTGTCATCGCTTACATCTTATTCAGTCATAAACCCAGATGACAGAAGGTGCGGGGGTTTAAGATCTTTGCGAAATATGTTTTGGGGGGGAGGTGTTTGCAGTTTGCATCATGAAGTATGCTCGCCACGTGGATTAGGTGACACACATGCTAATCGTTTGTGATTCTGAGAGGGAGGGGGTCAAAGGTTCTGGCCCTAATCCCACCTCAGCCTTGGATTACACATTCACTGTGTAGTAGGACGTAGCTCACGTGCTCGGGGTTCGCATACAGTAACTTTCACTTTCACGTCACTGATACCTGGAGTTACATTGGAAACCATTTACATTATTGCACACAGTCTGCTTCACAAAGATCTTGCGTAGTCGTTATTGCGTTTTAACCGACCTAACGGCAGCGTGTAGAGGTCCCAGCATCGAGCCCTGTGGCACTCCACAAGTCAGGGCCATATGAAAGTCTCAAATCCAGTTTTCTACACAGTTAGTCTTGTTGAGTAACGTCTGGAGTAGTTACATTGAGTTTTGTTGAGTTTTGTTGATTAAATTGAGTTTTGTTGTTTTCATTGAGATACCTTGCCTTGCATTGAGCTTACATTGCCAAATATTTAAATAATAATAATAATAATAGATTTTATTTATAACGCACCTTTCATATGCAAAGCACATCTCAAGGTGCTACATCAGAATAAAAACACATATATACAAATGTTAAAATACATTAAAACATGGGCTGCAGATCAGCAGTAGGCCTTCCTGAATAGCTCCGTTTTCAGGTGCTTTTTGAAGCACTCCACAGACTGTGGCGCCCGCAGGTCTTGGGGCAGGGCGTTCCACAGGCGTGGTGATGCGGCTGAAAAAGTCCTGTCTCCCATGGAGTGAAGGCGTGTGATTGGCTGACTGAGACGGTGGGTGTTTGTGGACCGGAGGGATCGTGATGTGGACTGTAGGGTGAGGAGGTCTTGTAAGTACTCTGGGGCGTTGCTGTGGATGCATTGGTGAGTGAGAAGACAGATCTTATATTCAATACGGAGGTGTATGGGGAGCCAGTGGAGTTTACGGAGGACGGGGGTGATGCGCTCGAACTTGCGTGTCCTCGTCAGGACCCTGGCAGCACTGTTCTGAATATGCTGAAGCTTTTGAAGGCTTCTGCCAGGGATCCCGACGAGGAGGGCATTGCAATAGTCCAAAATCCTTGTTGAGTTACACAGCTATTCAGTCTGACTGCCAATTGGATGTAATTTTTTTCTCCATTTAAGCCTTAGGACATTTATCATTGCTATCATTAAAATATCAGTGGCTTTATGTGTCTCCAATAATGTATTTAAAAGTTCCGGTTAGAATCAGGTTACTGGGCAAACAGGAAATGACCCTTTATGTTGTTTCTTGGTTATATCCATTCTTCATATTCTCTACTTTAACGTGTATTCTAGTCTAGGTGTATATGATTTAAATTGTCTCAATACTAGCACATTGAAAGGTTACACCTGTATATTGTGATCATCAGTAAACAGTATCAGTAAAGAGCAGCACATTGCAGCAGGTGAGAAGAGGGGGGGAAAAAAGTGCATTATTATTCCCGAACTCTGCAGGATGTGCCAGCTCCTCGTCTTTCCTGAAATCCAAGCCTTTTCCCTCACTCTTTGAGCTCAGCCGAGATACCTGCAATTCTAATCAATTAGTAACAGTAGGAAAGTCTCTGTGGCTCCGCGCGGCTGTACCAGGTGCACACAGGTGTACGGCTGTAACACGAAACTGCTGCTGAAGTGAAGCCAGTCTCACTAACATGTCAGAGAACTGTCGCCTGGAGCCTCAACAGCAGCTTTCTTTGTGGGAAACAATGAACTGACCTTTACCAAGACCCACCATTTTCAAATTGTTGATGGTGCAAAGTTAGCCCTATTTTAAAGAACACATATGATGCATGTTTTCTGCCCTCAGACATGATCGTAAGAATATTTACTTTCATTTAGGAATTAGATTAACCAATATTTTGAACATTGATTAGTTGTTTTATTCCAAAAAGCTTAATGAATATGTTTTTTTTATACATTTGACACACACAAAAAAGCTCCAGTGATGCCCTTGGAGAACATCTTTAAAGAAATGTGTTATGAATTTAACACAAAATTGCTGCTGAAAGGTTGTTTGAGGAAAAATACTTTGTAAACACATTTTCATTTCATTCTGCGGTCGTTATAGAATTATCTGAGTCATAACACCTCTTCTCAGTATGCTTAAAGGGGCTTATTTTATTATACTTTTAGAGACCTAAGAATGGTCAGCATGGCACCTTTTCTTTCGTCACAGTGGTCACTAGGATGCTAGAGGATCAATTGTTTGGAAGGTTTTCTCTGCTGTGGGACCCCCTGCACCAGAAAACACCAGACAATTCGATGTCAAACGGCAGAAAACCTTTCCATAGTCTGAGGATATGTCGTGTTGTAAAAGGGTTTGAAGAAGAATCTTTATGACAGACGGGATGAAAGGATTTTTTGGTTTCGAGCTGCTTTGAGCATGGCTGGAGCTAAGAACAACTGCAGGTCTGTTTTTGTAATACTAGACAAAGGAAAACAATTTTGTATGACGTGTGATTACTAACTAAGACATAAAGAACACATTAAGTCTTTTTAAATAATTCAAATGAAAAACTTGAATTTTAGATATATCGTTCTGTGTTTTTTAAACTCTTGTCCTGTTTTCAAAGTTGTTTTTTAGATTAGATAGATAGATTGGGGGCAGTTGTATGCATAGTGTCGAAAACAAGACAAGATGCGTATCGGTCTGGGATCATGTCTGCAGACGAACAAAGATTTGCTGCGTGCAGATTCAGATTCTTTTATTTGCAATAAAACCACATTGGAATAGATTTGCAAAAGACTCCAGTGTGCACAAGACAAGTACATAAATAAAACAAGATTAAAAGTACATGTGATTTTATACCGTGGAGGAATCACACATTGACACTACAATCTGCAGCTGCCACTAGCTCTTAAAAGCTAGTTTCGGATCTGCCAGGTCATAATAATACTATAATAATACTGTCTTGTGTGTACTAGACTTAATAGATGGAGATGTGGAAGCCGCTGCCAGAGCAATGCATACATTTCACCAGTTTATAGTTTTCTCACATTGGTATGTAAATGCAGTCCCATACAGGCACTTTCAGGTCACTGCAGTCTTGGAGGCAGAGAGGACGTCCCAATCCAAAGTTTTTTTTTCCCACACTCCCCCCCTCGGCACCCCCTTATCCCATCTTCCTTTCACTTTCTTCTGCAGAGGAAAGCTCACTGTGGAATCCTAATTTGACAAGCCTTTTATGGGAAACTCTGTGGGATTAGAGCCCTTGAGGGAAAAATAAGGTGTTTTCTGAGAGTTTCCTCGAAAAACATGTAAGCAGAAAGTGTGTGTGTGTGTGAGACAGACAGAAACACACATACACACAGAGAGAGAGAGAGAGAGAGAGAGAGAGGCACATGGTCTTTAGCCTCCAGAAAATTGAGCTGTTTTCTGAGGGTTTCCTTGAAAAACCGAGAGAAAGTAGAAAGTGCGGGTGTGTGTGAGAGATAGAGAGAGAGAGACACACATAGAGAGTGAAACACACACACACTGAGAGAGACACACACACACAGAGGGAGGAAGAGAGAGAGACAGACCCACACACACACACAGAGCGAGAGAGTGACACACACACACACACACACAGAGCGAGAGATATAGAGACACAAAGAGCGAGAGCGAGAGAGACACACACACACAGAGACACGCACAGAGAGAGACACACACATACACACACAGAGAGAGAGACACACATACACACACATAGAGAGAGACACACACACGTAGAGAGAGACACACATGCACAGAGAGAGAGACAAACACTGAGAGAGACACACACATGCAGAGAGAGAGACACACACACAGAGAGAGAGAGACACACATGTACAGAGAGAGAGACACACATACACACATAGAGAGAGACACACACACACATAGAGAGAGACACACATGCACAGAGAGAGAGACACACACACAGAGAGACAGACACACACAGAGAGAGAGAGACACACATGTACAGAGAGAGAGACACACATACACACATAGAGAGAGACACACACACACATAGAGAGAGACACACATGCACAGAGAGAGAGACAAACACACATAGAGAGAGACACACACACAGAGAGAGAGAGAGAGTTGGGAGCACGTTCCAGCTGTAGTCTCCAGTTGCCCATGATCTGTAGCCTCCAGAATTCCTGAGACAAGTCCAGACCTGTTTGTGGCTTTGTGTTAGAGCAGACAAACATATTAGTGAAAGTCAGCTGTCACTAAACAGTCTCATTTCATGAAATACACAAAAGAAATGACATTCTCAACTATTTACCTTAATTGTATTGTCAATAAATGAGCCCGAGGCAGCATCAATCTCTTTCTTATCTGGTTTATTTTCAAGCTCTTCCAGACAGAACAAAAGAAGACGCTTTTTATATGACGTGTATCAATGTGAGAACAGAGACTTAAGATATTGATACTAGTGTCTGCTTCATCCCTGACACTAGCAGCAATGTGGGTCAGAACAAATACAGTCAGTTCAGTCAGTTCTTTAGATAATGGTGTTTAGCAGTAATACAGATATAACACAGGTCAGATTCCACAGTTTTACAGTTTTGTATTAGAGTATTGTGGCCTAAAAATTAGGAACTTCATTTTTTAACAACATTTGTTTAGCCTTTAAAAAACCTCACATTCCAAGTCATAACTATTGAAAGATCCCAAACAATCAAACGACAATGAGATCATTTGAGAGAAAAAAAAGCCGTTATACTTGCATTTGCCCAGACCTTTTCTTAAGTCACTTTGCCTTGACATTGGCACAAAACCAGTGTTCACACATTGTCATTTCCTCACATTGTTACTCAGCCTATTATTAAAATCCCCCTGTGACTGCTTCACTACCCCCCCCCACACCCCCCACCACCATGACCAATCCCACAGCAGACCCCAAACAGCTGCTCTTTACGAACACACAGTGAATCACGTCTCCATTTCTTCCGCAAGTCTCACATTTCTCTGGAAACAGTCTGAAGATGGCGATCCATAGAGCCTGCAGCCTTTGCGTTCTAGCAGCATGTATATAAACTACTATAACTACGGTAAAATCCAGAAAACTTGACTTGACTTCCCAACCTAATAACAAACCCCCCCTTCACATTTTCCCGGGAAAACGCACGCCCTTCTTGGCTCCACAATGGGGTAGGGGTGGTTGGCGTCGGTGTGAGGGGTGTCCGGATTGAGCGCCCCCCACATAGACTTAATGAAGCAGCGCTGATCTCCTTTGTAAAGCTCTGTGTCTCACTGGGAATCGAACCCTAAACTTGAAAAGGAGCCCGTTATTGTTTGTCTTTTTTGGGGGGGGAGTCCGGAGTTCACAGGCTGCGTGGATTTAGATTTAGATTTTTTCTTTTGAACCTGGCAAGTCAAGGCCTGTCTATTTTTATAGTACAGTTCATACACAAAATCAAAGTGCTTAACAAAACAAGATGGAAACACTCAATCATTCAAATCATAAATAATCACAGTACATTAAAAACAGTGAAGATACAATCCCTCAGTTGTATGCACAGCCAAACTGAGCTGTTTTTAACCTGGATTTGAACATTGTCAGAGAAGAAGCCTGTCTCACATTTTCAGGAAGACTGTTCCAGATTTAATCTCCATGAATCTGAAACGCTGCCTCCTCGTGTTTAGTCCTGACTCTGGGCACCAGCAGAAGGCCAGTCCCTGTGCTCCTCAGAGTCTGCTTTGGTGATATACATATGATTATGTAATATTGCAGGATAAAGAGCCTTGCAACGCACTGAAAGGGCCCTGCAGCGACTCTGTATCCACAACTCAGTATACAACAATTTAACAACAAAATACAACAATATAAGATGTGTGGCAGGCTGCACTGGCCGTCCTCAATTTTCTGCTTTTTCATGAGATTAGATGAAATGTATATAAGCAGTGATAGAGCAGCCGCAGAGCAATGACAGCAGAGAACAGAGAGATGGACCCCCAGGAGCCTGACCCACTTCCTGCACCTGTCCAGCCTGTGATGTGCCACAAGGGGACGGTGCGAGCCCTCTAAGGCTTAAATATACATGACTTTTCTCTGTCACTCTTTGTCATCGTCAAAGGTATCGACAATCACATAAACAGGACAGGATGTGAGATTACATTCAATTATTTTTAAGACAATTCATCTTTTTTAAACAGTGGGGAAAAGGGAGAAAGGCAGGCCCACGTTGATAGAGGGATCAGCTCCAGGAGGTTATTTTAATGATTTTAATCTATATCAGAACGAGTAACCTGAAGATACAATTACACAACACAATAATGTTGTGATATTTAATATTATCATAGTATTGAGTATAACAACATAGTGTTAGTATCTGAATCAAATTTGTAATTTTAGTATTGTGACAACAGTACATGAAGAGATGTTTTCTGCACAGGACCAGAACCAGAGCTCTGTGTGATTTATGTTGAATTTAGAACCAAAATATGAGACAAAAACATGGTCTTTTTAGCTGAATTCCAGTGTGTGTGTGAATTTCTAAGGAGAGCTTCAGAAATGTCAACCCTACTGCATTATTTACCTTTTTAATTATATATTTGCACGAGGCGCCACCTGCTGGTGATGATCGCACATGGCCAAAGTGGGTAAAAGGCCATTGGCTGAGTGTTCATGAGGGGAATGCTATAATATCTTCAGTGAGGATGAATTCTGAGCCAATTGGTTTGAACTTAAAAATAATACATAAATATATGAATATACATATGCACCTTATATATACGCACATCATCAAATACCCATATAATATGTAGATGTCGCCCTCTTCAGGCCAATCTCATATTACACACAGTTGAGCTTGAGTTCACACAGAGGCAGAAATCTCGATCATCTTTGCCATATTTCTGAGTTTATGAATGATACTGAAAGCACCTCCTTTCCCCTCATTTGGTGGTTGTTTATATTTTCTATTTTCATATGACATTGACATTAGACCCTGATCAGAAGTCTCTATCCCCTAGCTCTCAATAGTGTGTGGCCCCTTTAACATCGATGACAGCGAGGAGTCTTCTGTGGTAGTTGTGGATGAGATTCTTTATGTCCGTTAAAGCTCCTTCTTCTTCTCCAGTTCCTATTAATTCATGGGCTGCCTTTCAAGAACTGCACCTTTGAGATATCTCCAGAGCAACTCATTTATGTTGCAATATGAAAATAGAAGTCACAATTTTTGTTATCAGTGATCATCTTCAAAATATGTTTGCCTGGGACTCAGAGTGTAGACTTTCAAGAGCAACTGTATTTCTGTTTTTGAATATTCTCTGTGTTAAGCTGGCTCTTAACACTGTGTTTGTCTGTGTGTGCGTGTGTGTGTGTGTCTATGCGTGCGTGTGTGTGTGTGTGCAGGTGTGATGAGTACGTCACTCAGCTGGATCAGATGCAGAGGCAGCTGGCAGCAGCAGAGGATGAGAAGAAGACCCTGAACTCCCTGCTGCGGATGGCCATTCAGCAGAAGCTGGCCCTGACGCAGCGCCTGGAGGACCTGGAGTTTGACCACGAGCAGACGAGGCGCGGGGGCATCGCGGGCCGCTCTAAAGGCCGCAGCAAAGCCCCCGCCTCCTCCACCAGTGCTCATGTAAGTCCCAGTCTGTCCTGCTCCAGCTCCGGACGCCCAGAGCTCAACACCGCTTTGCCCAACGGCATCATGGGAGGTCCCGTGGTGTTCTGCAGTGAGAAGTACAAGATCTACTGCGACTGAGCGGTCAGGCCGCTGTGGACTCGTGTACAGCCTTAGTGTTCCAGCCCCACATGCTCGCTTAGCTCCTCTGGGACTGCTGTGTAACCAGCTGCTTGTGTGTGCTGTGTCCCGTAGGAGAACGCCCTGTACAGTGTGACAGCACGTCTGGACTGTAGTAGACATTTATGGCATGTGGATCGTAGGGCCCCGCTTGTACTGGGGGCATTGTGGATTTTCTGAAGTGTCTATTCTTTCCGCTGTCATTGTGCTGAGTGTAAGTGAAGGTGCTTGTCCCCGCAGTGTGCTCCTGGAGACAGGGACACACTCCTGTAGAGGGGGACGTCACTGAAGGCTTCTGTGTCTGCCCTTCACTTTGCTGTTGGCATTGGTGCTCCTTTAAAACAAGCCCCCCCTCTCCTCTGCTGCCTCAAGGACTGACCTGTCCAGCAGCTTCTGACCTATCAGGTCACTCTACAACGAAATGTTTACAAGAAAAAACAAGCAAAATATGCAATCCTCCTCCAGCCTTGTGGCTTGAGGATGTCTAAATGAAATACATGATGTGGACGACCTCGTGAGTGGGTTGGAATTGGTTTGTTGGAATAGTTTGGGCAGAAAGGAGCACCTGTGGCCACAGGTGTGTATATCAGGATCATTGTAAGCTGTGATGCTAGCACACCAATACAAACCAGATGTAGAATCGCATGGCTTTGCTACTGGAACACTAGCTTTTACCCACTTGGTGTTGTGTGTGGTATGACACATGCGACATCTGCATGGTACAATACTCATGTGGTGTGCGGCGAAACACAGGAGGGCTATTCTGTACGACCGCCATGTTTGCAACAGATTTCACTCAGAGCCATAAAGAGAAAGAGAAGTCTGAGAAATCTCCACAGCCAAACAAAGTGCACTTCAGCAAAAGGTGCCTCAGGTTCTGCTGGTCAACATCAATTTACTGTGATGCTACTTTGATCAGAATCAGCTGTTTAATGTTCAAAAGAGCACAAATCAGAAGGCATCACATCTGGATATTTAAAATTGGGACGCTCATCCAACAGTCCGGCAAAGTGCCTGTGATAAAGAAACCCGACCCGGATCCAAGCATTTACCCTTCTCTTTCTCCTCTATTTTCCGGAGCAGAGTGGTGAATAATGTCTGCGTGCTGTTCTGGCTGGGAACCGTCTGCTTTTCTCTTAAACCAGCTTGTTCTTTTGTAGATGGTTACCCGCCGGCCTCCTCCTCCTCCGCCCCACCACCACCCCCTTTTTCACTAGAGCATATTGTCAGGTAACCTCCTCGTGTGTGCTGCCTGTGTGTGCGAGACCGAGCGGCCCTCTCCTGTCATATATTTTTATCTCTTATCACAAACAGAGGGCCGCTCACAATCTATTTTACATGTGCGTGACGTGGACTAAACGCTGTGCTCTTGCTAGTTCTTACTATTTTTTCGTGAAAGCTTTAAACCCTTTGCGAGCTAGCATTCTGCAGATTCGAAAAAGAAACACGTGGGGCTTGTTTATTATTATTGTGGATATAGATGCTGAGAGCGGGGGTGTAGAAAAACACGCAACGAGGACACTGTCGTCGCCCCCTGCTGGCGTGTGCGTGTATATGTTTAGCACACAGCATCACAGCATGAAGGCAAAACCGTCGTGAAGTTGAAAAAAAAAACTATAAACACTTCGACGAAAGCCTGTCGGGAGCATCGTCACTTCCGCTTTTGAGATACGTCACGTTCGCATCAGTTTTCCGCTGATTGAGAATTGAGATTCGGAGAGTAGAGGATGGAATTACTAAAATAAGAGTGAAATAAGCTAGACATTCTGGTAAGTTCGGCCCAGATGTTGTTAAACGATTGAGAAATGAGTCCAGCATTTCCAAAGAGAGAAAATTCTGGACACTTTTTGTAAAACTTTTTTTTTTTTCTTCTTAAGGAGGCATACAATAGAGACAGACATTGATTCAAATTAGCCCCGCCCCTTCTCCCTCGTGCAGGCCCTTGGTGAATATTTGGGGCAGTGGACAGAATGATGTCAGAATTGTATTTCCCTTCACCTTTCGGAGCTCGAATTCGGCTCCTCGTCTGGTTTGTAAATCAATGTCTGGATGCTCCTACCTCTTGCATGCAGGCTCCGCCCATTACTCACTTTACATATTTTTTGTTTTTTTGTTTTGTTTTATTAAGCCTGCATGGTATACTTGTGTCTGTTGACTTGCTCGACGTTTAAGGAAACCCCATGTCCACTAGCTTTTCCATTGGTGTGGAGTTGTACTACTGTATACCGGCTTTGGGCCTCGTACTAACACTACAGCTGAGAATTTTTCGGAATATTTTTGGAGTGATGTAACAGCTAACCCCTCAGATATTTTGCAAAACATTTTTTACGTCTATTTTTTCAGTAATTGATCTCAGTAACAGCCTTGTGCGGACGGCGACGTACCTACGCAAGCTTCAATTGAGCGCACCAAAAGACACTGTGTTTGGATTTGAACAATTTTAGAAGCGTTTTTTGCATTTTACACTGATTGACTGAGCTGCTATGGGAAAAACGTTTCAATGGAACCACCTCCAATGTAAAACCAGCGCTCATGGGGACCTTTCTTAACGTCCGGACACTAACATGTTTTGTGTTTTTGTTTTTATAATGTGCACTTTCATCATAGAGGATTATACTATTATTAACCTAAATAGGAAAGTGTGGTAGAACTATGGTTTGTTGATTACTCAGTTTAGTGGATAAGAAAATAGAAAAACTATTTAAATGGCTGAAATCGCCACAAACCAAGTCAATCCACAATTTTTTTTTTTTTTTTTTTTCCATTCACAAAATGGTGTTACATTGTTATGGTGTTCTGTTATGTGTGTTCTACTGCCATATTCTATACAAAAAATCCAGGGTGATCAAATTCTGGGGTTTTTTCGTGTATATTTATTATTCCTTGAGGAATAGCTCAGACTAATGAAACTTGACAGCGTTCCGTTTCCAAAAAAAGGTAAGTTGTTTTCGGGGGAAATCTGTGACACGGCATGAATTCTTTTTGTTTTTGTTTTCCTTCGCTTCTTACCAAAAGGGCGGTCGCTGAAAAACCGGGATCACTGACTTTTTGGGAATTCTCTGCAAATGCAAAACATTTATAAATTCCAAATTGGAATTGTTTCATTCTCTCGTTGATTTTTATCGTGCCAAATCTTGGTACACAGTTTTTTTTTTTTTAGACCAACTCGGAAAGAAAGGAAAAGCCGTCTGACGTATTTGGAGTGCTGTTTTTTTTTCGTTAAGCCCTTTGTTTCTGACCAGTAGTGCCTTTCATTGTTTCAAGGGAGAATCTTCGACAAAGTATTTCATGTTTTATGTTTTTTATATAGACTAAAAAGCGTCGCAAAACTGACTGTGAGCAGCAATAAATGCAACGGAAAAAAGAGAGGGACAAGCCTTTCTTTTCTCTGCATGTCGTGACGATGTTTTCTAGCTCAATAAACTTGACGTTGCGTTGAATTCCACAAGTCAGTGATCCGCACAATGAAATCAGGGGTATTAAAAAGAGAAAATGTTGTTTTATATCAAACTGTGGGAAGCATTAAAAAGTCCATTCTGGCCTCGGGTCACGGTGAACAAAAGCCAACAGCAGCGTGTGTATTAATGGAAGCATATCTAGCATTGTTTGGTGAAGGTAATGTGATATCTATAGTATTGATGCAAAAATTAATGTGCAGAAAGCGCAAATTAATTTTTGGTTTTGTTTTTTCCATTTTTTTCATTTTTTTTCTCATTATTAACATTTTTTTCTTTTCTTTCTTTTTTTTTTTTACTTAATCTTTTTTGAGCGTTTTCAGGAAACAGAAAACAAGAAGCGTCAACAAGCCAGACCCGTGCCATTCTAGCCAACGCTAGCTTGTTGACGCGCCATTACGATTATAACGTTTTACCAATATGGAGGAAAAAGTAGAAACGAATAAAAAAGTGCAATTTCTTTTTCGACAAATAGGTTTTCTGTTTGCTGGAAGCGATGTAGCCGTGCAAACTTTGTCATATTGTGTTCTCAGTATTGATCCAGACAAAAGCGTCTTTGTATGAACTTCACCCGTATGTCGGTATTTATTTGAATTTGTCATGCAGTACTGTATCTAATATGTGCATTATGAGTAGCGGCATCATGTCCTAAGCTAAGATAATGTGTCTACGCATGTGTCTCCAGTCATGGGACCTTTACACAGAGGGAGCAAAGCAAACAGACAATATTTAGGATATATAATGAAAAAAAAAGAGGAAAAATATTAAGTTTTGTACGGAGTAAAACAGCGATTTGTATTCGACGGTATCCTGAGAATGTGTTTGTTTTGGAGGGTGAGGCTGTGTAAGGGTAGTCATGCTGGCAAACATCAATAAAAGTAAAAATTAAAAAGGCCATCATTGCCTCTGTGTGTTTTTTTAATGTATATATTCATGTATGTATGTGTTTATTTGATAGGGACACGTGTAGCTGTCAAGGATAGTGTGGGAAAAACAGACATATTTTGTTTTACTGACATTTAAAGCAAGACCGGAATTACACTAGAGATAATTTTGTCGCCCCCTAGTGGATATCAAAGTATAATGTCAGTGCGTTCCCCATTGAGAGGCATGTACATCATTTTAAAGCTAATTTTGTCAATAGAACAACCACAGCATCTATGTTGCCACAAAAATGTAACCCTGAAGGCAATAAATAAACATTACAAGTTTAAAAAGTAAACATATTTCTAATAATTCTAGTCATACTCAAAAGTAATTATTTGATTTAAAAAAATGGCAGGACAATCAACATGTGATACATACATTTTCTAAAGCCAAGGCTGTTATTATTATTATTATTATTTATTAGTTAATTATTAGTATTTTGTCAGTAATTTATAGAAAGAGTAGATCTTTATAGTGGAGTTCTTGGATATTGAATTAAAATGCTTTTCATAGATTGAAAGTGTATAGGCCCATTGTACATTGGTTTATATGAATAATCTATTATGAATTGGCTTAGGTAGTATCAATAACAGCGCTTACAAATATATTCTGCCTATTTAAAGTCTGGTCATTTCTTATCTGTTATATTTTCCATGATCGTGATGCTCACCAGTATTATAGACGAGGAAGAGGAAACATAACATATATTTGTCTACATTTTGAAGTTCTTTAAAATCAAACGGTCTCTCAGCGTGTGGGGGTGACTTCTGGCACAGATGAAGAGAAGAAATAAGATAAATATCCATTAAATAAAACCAATAAAACAACAAAAAACTATTCAAATACAAAGTAATTCACTTTTGGTTTGAAACTGAACATTTATGAAAGCCTTGAAGAGTTGGAACACACCGAAATCTGGAGATAGAAGATGGTTTAGACAATACAAGAAGAAATAGTGACTGCATAAGTTTATATAAGTCACTCACTTAAAAAACAGAGAACAAATATATAAATAAATATAGACGGACAACATACAACATCACAGGTTGACACGTCTGAACAATCACTCACTATTTCACAATTTTATGGACTAAGGGTCTGAAGAGTTTTTAGGAATCCTGCTCCCAGACTGGATCAGTTCATGTGGCCATACCTGGTTGCCTCACTTCTATCACTGTGCCCCAGGGCAGCTGTGGCTACAGTAGTACTTCATCACCGCTGTGTATGGATTGAGAGAAGAATGACTTGTGGAGCGTCTTGTGCTATATAAAACTGATATGAAAACGTTTCTATTGAAGAAAGAACAGCGTTTTGAAACCATTCTGCTACAGCCTCTAGATGGCGCTGTGTGTGGTTCTCGCTGTGATGTTTTTTTATTTTTTATTATACACAGTCAACATGAATACACAACAAACAAATGACAACAGAAGGAAAGCTGATGCAAAAATCTCAAAACAAGACTAATATAAAAAGTCAATTAAAAAAAAAAGAATTCAACATTGATAATAATAATACTGATGCTGAAAAGCCCAGACTCAGTTCCACCAGACTCTGGGTCAACAGCTGTCAAGCTCCTGAGAACATTTTAAACTCATCTGTCGCTTCAATGACTCTGAGATTTCTTCAGTGGTGACGCTGGTGAACTCCAGGTCACGTGCTGCTGGTACCAGTCTCCTTTATGGAAACACTGGTAAATACAGTCTTAAATGTCTGTATTTCGTTTCTGTGCAAGCCTCATCTTTATCTGTGTTTCTTGTTCTAGTGTGAACCTAGAGGCTGAAAATATCATAATAATCATAAAACAATAATAATCATAAAATCCTAACTAAATAATAATGCATCCATGAGTTCTTATGATCGCATTTCCTGCTGGACGCTCACAGGGTCATCCAGGACGTGTGTGGTGGGCTGGTGTTGGAGCTGGTGTTGGAGCGGGGGGATTTCCATCTGACCATATATGGCCGCAGGAAGCGATCATGTTTCGCACTATGCAGCAGCAGTTCAGCTATTTTTACTGGACAGGATGAAATCGATGGTTCTGTTCTCTCTCGTCCCATCTGCTGGAATCATGAGAGGGAAGGCTAATCCGTGCACTCCGGAATCAGACTTTAACAAAAATGTATGGTTTTTTTTGGGTTGGTGTTTGAGTCACTATGGTACAATTCAATAATTCAGGGAGATGGTATTGCAGGTGAATCGAAGAGAATTAGAATATGATTCAAAAGTCCATTTACTTCGGTAATTTAACTTACTATCAAACTAATCTATTACACACTAAGTGACATTTATTTGTCTCACACCTTGTAAAATGCTCCAGATCCAGAACTTGGCTGTAGTCCTCGTTCTACAGCCTGACTCCTGGTTCTGCTTGTCCGTCCATGGGAGCTCCCTGAGGTTTCTTTTTGAGTGTTTCCGAAGCAGGAGTGTCTTGGAACAGTGAGGACATTCATGGACTTTTATTTACATTGATGCACAACCCCAGAGTTACAGAAAGGTATGATCCAAGTCTCACCTGTGTCCTGTTGAAAAGAACCCGGTTTATTTTCAGTTCTGGCACCAGTTATTCATCTTGAAACATAAACAAACAGCTTTCGTGAGTGTTATAGCAAAGATTCACACTGGAGATGGACACGACGACTGCAGCCGATCTCCGTTCCTCCCACTGTCCTCTGTGCCTCCGCTGGCATCACACCTACCTACAAGCTCGTGCAATCGCCCTCCTCCTCCTCATTACGCGTGTGACAAAAGATCAGTAAAACGGTGCTTAAACTAGATTCCATCATCTTCATTTCAGTACATTTTGACTGTCTCAAAGGTGATGTCTGCCACTTAAAATGTATACCACTGAAACATGTACACTAGCTCTGACTGTAATGACAGAGTGAAGGTGGGTGGTTGGAGGCTTTGATGCACGAAGCCTCCAACCGATGCATGTTTTCGTGTTGAGGGAATGGAAACATATCAAACCTCAAACACGTTGTAAAGTACTTTGTGTGACCATGGCCTCATAATTAAAGATGACTTTCTAAATTATACTGACATGCTTGAAATAAAACCACAGTTACTTGTTCCATTGGCATATCTTATTTTAAGTCAAGTCAGTCTGTATGGAGGGAAAGAATAAGTCTGTGTTGGGAGTGTTTGAGATTGGGGTCCCTTTACTCCACACCTGCTGCACAGTCACACACCTGGGCTCATCACTTTTAAACAGAGCCTATAGCACCAAGCTTTGGGGTTTATTGGGCATGTTGTATTGATTTTGACTCAGCTGTAAAGTACTTTGTGTTGCATTTTATTGTATGAAAAGCGCTTTCTAAATAAAGTTTGATTGATTGATTGATTGAAGCTGATATTCGTGCAGCAACCCTCCTCCTCCCTGTTGTTGCCTCTTCAGTGGTTGTTATGTTATCAGTTTTCTTTGTCCCGAGGGGTAATCTCTACTAAATTCTGCATATGTCATAAATATATTAGTTTCATATCATGCACCTGCCGGGTTTAACTGTCTAATGATGCAGCTGCTATATATTCACGCAAACATGTCAATAAATATAATTCTAATGCAATCTTTGTCTTGAGGCCAGATTGATTTGTTCCTCAGATCACTAGAAATATTCCCATACATGTACTTTTTGTTTATTATTTTGCAGTGCATGTTTTGGCATAGTAAGTAAGTAATCACCTTTCACAGATCAGAGTCACAAAGCGCTTTACAATTGGACCTTCTTGCTATGAGACACAAACGCTAACCACTGCGCCACCGTGCTGCATGAAAACCATTAATATCTTTCTGTTTTCAGGAGTTATTTTGAAACTGCTAAAACAGTTCCTCTCCTCCCCCTCGGCCCCTCCCCCTCGGCCTCTCCCCCACGGCCTCTCCCCCACTGCCTCCCCCGTCCTCAGTGCTGGGTTTGTCCTGTACACTCTGTTTCCTGTGAGGCCTCTGGAGATCTGAGGCCTTTCACCTAATTAGTGTCCGACGTTGTTGAATACGACTCATGCTGCAGAACGCACAAAAACGCACAAAAACAAAAGCAGCGTCTTCAGAATCAGCTGTAAATGTTAAAAATGTGCCGCTGGTGTCAACAGAAGCATCAAAACATGTTTGGCTGCGTCATGTCATGTCGGGATGAAAACAAAAACATTTACTACTTTAGAAAAAAGTTCTTCCACACAGATTGTTGAAACAGCAGTTTAAGTCAGGATTAACACTAGGACTCCCAGAGCAGTCATTTTGACGGCTCAGATCAATGGAATTCTGGAAAACACAAAGTGGGTTTGTTTTTCGCCAGCTTTGTTAAAAGTAAGTCATTAGTAAGGTTTTTACCCTTACTTTTTTCAATAAGTGTTGAAATGTGTTGCTATGGTAACTTGCACCTGCTCATTTCTGGTGGAAAACCAGCACCTTGGAGTAAAGAACTGCCAAAATTGTTAATTTCAAAATGTACATTGAAATAATTGACCCGCCAAAAGGACTGCTCATAGGAGTTAAAGGTAGAACCACTCACAAAAATATAAGATCTTGGTCTTGGACTTGGACTTGGTCCTCCCAAGTATCAATCATATTGGTGATACGTGCTCGTCCAATAAGACCCGAGAGTTTTGTTCAAAAAGTGGAGAGTGCACTTCTTTCCTAAAATTTGGGAAAATCCTCCTTTATACCTCTGAGTCAACCTCCTGTTGCATAACAGTTCTAAATTTGTTCTCGATGCTGTGGGAGTACCGATATGTGTTCCATTCTCTACATACAAGTGAAGACAGAAGTGAGACACACTGGGGCATCAAAGACCATGACCATCACTCCATTCTTTCCTCTTGTATTGTTGTACATGTTTTTAATAGTAGGGGAAACTGGAGCACCCGGAGAAAACCTGTGCAGGGGAGAACATGCAAACTCCACTCAGAACTGACGAGGTAGAATCAAACCAGGAACCTTCTTGTTGTGAAGCACTGCCCCACCGTGTCGCCTGTGTGTTACCATGGAGACACCTCAGGCAGAGCGATGTAGAACGTGTGATTTTACAATAGGTTTAAATCATATTCATCGTCAGTAGTTTGCGTTCCTCACTGACCATGGTACAAATGTAGGTCCCCTGTACTGGAATAACTCATATCAAACACAAGAATATAAAAGTGATTTGTAGAATCCATAAACTGCTCTTTACAAATGGGTCAATTTAAGCTGAATGATCTCTTTGGGTTCATGGAGCAGGAGGCATGAAGCAACAGGCCTTGGGAGGAACCACAGACTGTAATGTACGTACGTATGCAGTATAATGTATTTGTAATAGGGTGGGACACAGTGGTCTTGTTAAAGGCATGCAAAACCAACAGCATGGATCAGGAATACTGAAAGCCCTGGTATTTATGTATGCTTTTATTATGGAGTGATTTATGCCATAATAACAATCTGCCCTAACAGGCGACAGTTGGTAGAGCATTGGCCTTTGACCCAGAAGGTCATGGATTCGAGTCCTCCACAAGACTTTCTCCACCAACTCCACTGATGTCTGCTGTTGTTGTGTCCTTGGCAAGACACTTAACCTCTGGGAACACCAGCCACAGTGGGGCGGCTGTAAAGTGCCAAACCCCGTTGTCCATAGGCAAGACACTTCACTCACATTGCCTAGAATGAGTCTGGTGTCTGTGAATAGTTGGTGGTGGTGGGAAGGGCTGATGGCACAGACTGGTTGCCTCGCTTCTGTCAGTGTGGCCCAGGGCAGCTGTGGCTACAGTAGTAGTTTATCACCACCGTGTTGGGAATGAAAGAATAAAGTCTCTTTGAGTGTCCAAAAAAAGCGCGATATAAAACTGATGCATTAATATATGTCGTGGACTTAAAAGGGTCCGATCCACAGTCTGTAGTCTGTTCCTCTGGGTCCCAGCTGCACTGATCTCCCATCATGTCATTAATAATGTATTGTGTTTCAGTCGAAGGCTTCTACATCTGCTGCTGTCTTTAGGAGCTGCAGCCTGTAATCAGTCACGTGACCATGTCTCGTCATGTGACCCTGGTTCAGGACTGTGAGGAAGTCCAGGGAGTCTCCCAATCCCCAGTGATCCAAGATGGCGCCCTATTCAAATCAATGGCTTGTGCTCAGTAACGCATGGGACAGCCACAAGGACCGAAAGATTAGCGGAACTCGCCCATATTTGGCCTCATCTGGTCCTCCCAGTTCTGCGCGGTGTACGAGCTCCCATGATGCTTTGCCCCAAATGTGTTTAACAAGAAAAAAAGTTCAGGATGACAAGGAACACTAAAATCCCAACAATATCCGACCTGTTTTAGTTTACACTGAGTTCTATGGGACTTTTTTCTGGGTTGCTCACGTGAATGTAGTCTGCAGTACCACGGGCCATTGGTGGGAGAGCTATAAGCTAGTTATACCCTATACAGATATTATTATGTATCCATGGAGTCTCCATGTGCCATGAGGGAGTGAGGAGCGGAGGGAGGGTTGTTCTGGTGCTGGCCGACTGAAGCCATTATAGAAATGATTTTTTTTTGTTGCAAATCTCATCAAAGAGAGATTCAGGAGACGCCTAAAAACATAAACACTTTTTTAAGAAGATGTTTCTGTTCTCAAATTTCCACTTTTAACAATATTTTCAGAATATCAAATCAAACTTTCAATTCAACTTATTTTTGTATGGCTCTAAATCACAACAGCAATCATCTCAGTGGACTTCAGAAAGTTTGTTTATTCCCAACAACAGATTAGAGAATCAAACCGTTTGAATACAGGAAATGTAATAATAACAAACAAATAGGAGCCATTTGTCGAAAATTACTGTCCTTAAACCCTCCTGCTTCGGCAAGGAAAAAATTAGTTCATCGGAAGCACACCCAAACACGGGGAGAACATGCAAATTCCACACAAAAAGGTCCAGGCCAACACAAGAATCAAATCCACCACCTTCTTGCCTCCAGCCTGATTCTTTTTTTATTTTGAAATTAATGATATAATAACAACGCATGATAAAAGACAAAACAGTTCACATTTAGCTTAGAATTCAAACATGTATTTTACTGCCTAAATTCTCTTCAAACTTCAACTTATTTTGCATAAATGATGTAGCTTTAGTATTACGCCTGCTCTATTGTAGACAGCAGCCACAGTGACCAATGCACAGAAAAGAAATGACAAACAATGAGATCAGCTCTTTCACAGTGGCTTCATTGTGGACGTGGGGGGGGGGGGGGGGGGGGGGGGGGGGGGGGGGGGATATGGGTCAGTGGGCTCTCTCTGGCTCTGCTCCACATCTATATTAATGTGCAGGTGTTGATATAACCGTCTGGAGTCGGCGGATACTCAAACCACTGCAGCTGTTTCACATTTGAACCAGGGCCGTGTCGCTAGAGGTCTCCAGAGCGCAGCTGTTGTGGAGAGAAGCCATGGGAGGCATCCAAATTCACACCAAAATACCTCCTTTTAATGACTTGGGTGGCATACAATTTTCCCTCAGTGCATTCTTGTACAGTTATTAAAATGCCCTTGATTTAAAGCTGGAGTAACTGACTCTCAAATCATAAAAATGTTTCGTAAACACCTAAAATTAATGTTACGGTTCCTCAAGTTTTCACATGCACACATTTTGTCGCATTTTCAGATCTGCTTTTTTAGACAGAAACGTTAAAAAGAGAGGACCACCCACACATAGGGCTCCACCTAAAGTGTCAAATGTGTTCTAAAAATAACCTGCTTACTACAACAAATGAAGGCAGCATGTTGTGATCTGATTGGTTCATAACTTTTTTACTTTTACAGGAGAATGGGGCAAAAAACATGTGTTATTTATGATGAAAGGTTGGTACCCAAACTTTGACTTAGAGCTGCTCTGTCCCATAAAAAGTCACATTTCAAGAACAATGTGGATGTTATTTTGTTTTTCAAACTGTGTTTTTGTGTCTTTTCTTGCCAAGGACAGTGATGATCAGGACATTTAAAGACATTGAATGACATTTATGGACTTTTATTAACAGTGGTCACCCTGCTTTCTTAAAAACCAATGGCTCCTATGTGTTTGTTATTATTGCATTTCCGGAGTTCGAACTGCTTGCTTCTCTAATCTGTTGTTGGCGAATCACCAAAGTTGTAAAGTCCTCTGAGACAACTGCTTTTGTGATTAAGTTCTTTACAAAAAATACATTGAATTGAATAGAATGAGGAAGGAGATCCTTTTGGTTTGGTTTTGGATGCAGCCCTGGCCTCAGAGGTTGTACAGCTCTGTATCTGCAGGAACAAAGAGAGTTGTGTTTGACGTTGACATGTGATGATGCTGCAGCTTCAGGCGCTGAATAAATGGCAACTTATTTTGAGCTGTGCATCATGATTGATCGCTCACGTAAGCTCTAAAGCAGCCAGGGCCACGCACTCTATGTTTACTGTGACATATTAGTCCAAATGAAGAAGAGCTCACCTCATCAGGCCAGTTCTCTCTTTTCATTCTGGTATAATCAAATAACTGGCCCAAAGTAATGTCAGGAGCATAGACTGTAGATAACACTAACCCCCTTGCTCAATGAAGCCCAATAGGGAAGTGCTCATAGACAAAGATTTGCTCCCACTCCTTCTGCCTCATATTCACTTAGACTAAAAAGGAAACTCCTCCAGCTCCGAAACCGTTTGTCTCACAGTCTATGTTTATGTCACACTCCCCATTTTGTGCTTAAAGCGCAGTCTATGAAAGACAATAGAAAGTATCTAGATTTTCAGCGTGTGAGGTGAGAGGAGGCTGGAGCATTCCTCAGGCCTGAGTCTGGTCTGCTGAGCCTGTCCTCCCCACTGACCCCAGCTCTAAATCTGAGAGCTGCACTATTGTCCAGACCAGGCCTTGACTTTTACTGCTTTTTGTTCTCATTACTGCCACCTGTGATTCACACTCACTGTTATTTCATCTTGAATGTCTGTATGTGGAGCAATTTCTACTGTCTTTATCTTGTATGTTCAAGGCCATGGAAGTAGAATAGTTCACTTTTATCAGGAAAGATAGTCAAGTTTTTAATTTTGGCGAGGCTACTGTACATGTGACTGAAAATGCTTCTATAAAAACAGTATGTATATATAAAGCAGTATTGGCTTGTAAATTTCTCCTTCGTGATATCAATAAAGTGTATCTTATCTTATTTATGTTTATATTCAAAATAGTTAAAACATGTGCAGTTATATTTAAACAATTCCAATTCTAACTTATTAAAGTTGGGTTGTTTGTCCCAACAGAAAGAGATAAAAGTTGTGAACGAAGCAAACAACATCTTCATCTTATTCGAAAACATGAGATATTTTGCATACTGGTCAGAAAGAGCCTGTGAGTCACTATTCTGTGACTCTGTGGCGTCAGCCATCTTGTACGCTGTGGTCTGCTGCAGCAGACAGAGAGAAGCTGGACATGGTCAACAGGAAGTCCAGCTCTGTCCTGGGCTGATCCACCTGCGCTGTGCGTAGGAGAGGTTTCATCTGTAAATGATAAAAACTGCATCATGTACAATGCTGCAATCTTTACTTTATCTACTTTATTTTAGTTCCGCCATATTGCACTTACACAATAGATAGATAATAGATACTTTATTGATCCCCTGTAGGAGATATGCAGGTGTCCAGCAGCAGCAGAAACATCCAATCAAACAAACAAAACAAATAAATACATTATTATAAAAGTATCTAACAATAGTATTAAGATGCAACAGGACTTTATGTCACAGCAGCAGAGATGGAACAACCGCTGTTTGGTTCAGAGTCTGATTGGTTCAGATCATTTTCTCTGCTTGGGTCCTGATTAAAATGCATTTAAAAATAATAATAATAATAATACTTCATCCATTTCTGCTTGATCTGCTTGGTTTGAACTGTGAATCCTCTCTGCTCTGGTCTGGTCTGGATCAGTGTTCAATTCATGAACTCTGGACTGCAGTAAAAAAAATTCAAACAAAAACTTTTTCAGAGCTACTAAGGACTGGCTGCTATTTCCAGCACATTCAAAATGAACTGTCTATAGATACAGTAGATGGATAGATGATATATACAGATATTTACAACTATATGTATTTATGTGTATTATTTTCTTATTTCTTATGTTATTCTGCAGCATCTCCTTCTCTCTGTTGTGTGCTTCTCCGACACTGTGGGACAGAGGCCAACGATGTGAAACTAGAGACAGAATCAAACTGTTCTTGGTACTCGTACTTATTCGGTTTTAAAGTTAGGTACCCCAGCATTAAAACGTGGTACCAGAATCTAATTAACTAAAAGTTTTAAAAGAATGACATTTTTGAGATGCAAAAGGTTACGAAAAGCTTTTAAAAGTAATGTGTCCTGTGCTCTTGTGTTCAGAGCCAGAGAAGAACAAACATGTGACATCATCAGGCTCTAAGTCCTTCATCGACACGTTTTAATCTTCTTACAGACAGCAAAGGCCACAGACGTCTCATCTTTCACTCTGCTCTTTCTATCTCAAAACGAAGAGCAGCGTGAAAGATTGAACCAATGAACTTCCAAAACTAAATCATGGGCAATACTTTTGTTTTAAACCAACTGTTTTACATTTTTCACTTTTGTATTTGTGTCTATTTCATGCTCTTTTCTTCACTTCTTGTTTTGTGGGAAGTGCTTTGATCAGATGCTGTTGTTGTAAATGTGTTATTTAAATAAAGCTGACATTGACAAAGTGTGAGGGTGATGTCAGAGCGGTACAGAGTTAAATTAATCAGAATTCTTTTCATTGCTATTGTAAGTAACAGGAAGTCACATACTAGGAATTTTCTTTGGTATAGGGTGCAAACAAGTTAAAATAAAGTTTTTAAAAATAGATATAACGTCATGGTGGAAAGAAAAATACAAAAATGAAAAGTAAAAAATACATTACAATACAGAAATAAAGTTAAGCCAAGAATGTTGGGGGCGATGCGACTGTATTTCTAAGCATCACACACATAATCAATCAATCAACACTCATTAAGACATATATTGATAATAAAAATCAAAAAATAACTAAAGCAACTCCAGGTCTGTTTTTGATGACAGAACAATGTTATTATGAAGCTGAAGCGGATATTCAGACTGAATGACCGAGTGCAAATTCCCCTTTCCAAACCTGCAAATCACACAGCTCTGCCAGCCTCCTGCCAACCCTCTCACAGCAAAGCGGGCAGTTTAAAAGGCAGCCACTTCCTGACAAGCAACGCTTCCTGAGGCTCTTAAACACCCACCACACAATGGTTAAAAGAGAGAAAAAGTAGATGATAAAGTGCATTATAAGTTTCCTTTAGTTAAAAAATGAATTTACAAGAATAATTCCATGGCAGATACTGGAGACTGAACAGATCCTTTGTCTCGTGCTGCAGTCGCTCTGGTGTTTCATTCACAAACGACAACCCAGACTACGGTGAAATATGCGAGATATGGACTCACACTGGGTTCAACGTGTGACTGGCGAGGCCGTGACGAGCCGTTCCAACTCACAAAGACTTCTCCCATGTGTCGCCACACCATCACACACCTCCGCTGTCACACACACACACACACACGCACACACACACCATCACCATCACAAACACACTGATTCTGACACACACACACACACACACACACACATACACACACACACACACACAGACACACCTCCGCTGTCACACACACACATCTCACACTTTATAATTGACTTTAACATAATAATTTTCCCCCATCTTCTTTGCGAGAAGAATATGCTCTCTGTAGTGTAGCCTAAACTTACAATGTATTAAAACGCTCGACTTTATTATTTTTTCAATTGGACGAATAAGAAATAAAAGTAGTATGAAATTATTTATTTTCAAGTCAGCAACTTCAATAGTATTTAACTGTAAAAGAACATACATTTCCGACCATGGGGCACTGTGTTGTTATGTACAGTGAGTATTCTTCAGCAATATTCATTCATCCATTTTCATTCCCTTTAAAATTCCGTTTCTGGGTCGGGGATCACCGGCCCCTCACTGGTCCTGCAGTTGGTGGGTCCACGGAAGATGGCTACTCCGTCTACAGAGAAACAGCCTTGGTCTTTCAGCGGGGGCTTCAGGCAAAGTGGGGTTAAGTGTCTTGCCCAGCAGCCATCAATGGGAGCAGGTGACATGGGTGGGAGGATTGGTTCAAAGACCAGTGCTCCACCAACTGAGCCACTGTTTCTGGAGGAGAACAGTTACATCAATGACGAGAGCCTTAAGGATTATTTTCAACCAATCAAGAAGCTTCGGTGAAACAAGGCAGTAAACCTATTCATTATTGACAATGCATCTTCAAAAGTCTTTAAAACACAGCTCCTGGCTTCAGCGCATGCCCCTGATTTGTGGTTATTTGTATTGGGATCGCATTTCAGAAATCTCTAAACTGGCACAACATTGTGAATTCAAGCTCAAATTCATGCATGTCAAGAAAAAAACAAAAAAACATAAGACTTAACTTTGTCTTTTTAATTCGGAATAAAGGATATACAGAGAGGAAAAGGACTGGGGAGAGGAATTTAGGTCATTTTTGGTATGAACTGAAGTAAAATCATACACAAAATAATAAGTATAAATGTTATCAGAAAAATCTCATACAGCTGTTTTGGTGAAGTATGTACAGTATATGTATTTTTTAACTAACTTTCATGTCATCAGTGTATGTTTTGGGATTGCCTTATAATGTTTGCACTTTTTGTTACTTGTTAATATTTGTAGAAAGCGGAAAACATTGCACATCTGACTGACAGTGACAGTTTTGTTATATTTAAAACAAAGAAAAGGGTCTAATTCTGGGTGAGTGTGGTGTGTGTGACGTCGGCAGTGACAGCTGAAGCGCTCGTGAGGTCACACTCGTTACACTCATACCCCTGCTGTCGTCGGGGCCGTAAGCGTGGAGCAGCCGCCACAATAAAAGACTTAATGACGCGTGGCAGAGCGGACACCGGAGCCACGAGGCCGAGGGCTGGACCTGGGAGACAAAGAGGAGAAAGAAGTCATGTCGGGAAGTCCATTCACATGCAAAACACTCCATTACCAACCAGCGCCTCATCTGGACGTGTTAGCGCTAATGCATGAGACGCTCACAACATACAACACACTCCTCATGGGTCTTTTGTCGTCTGTGTGTTACACGTGTGTCACTGATTGTTGTGCTTTAATGCGTCTGTCCCTTTAACACTTCTGGCCTCGTGCAGCAGCCACCAGCTCAAAACAAAGAGGAGAAAAGAAGGACTTACTTATTTAATCTCATCAATTAACACAAGGACTCCCACAAGTATGACACTAGATAGACCTTTATCGTCCCCTGAGTGAAAATCATTTCCACAGACACGGCCACATACTTAGAATGGGGAGTAAATGTTGAGTTTTTCAGCATATTTATTCAAAGTAAGCCCTGTCTAAAGTTGTTACTCACTTATGATAATTGCTGGTGAATACTGTATCATTGGAAATAAAACCAAAATAGTTTGTTGAAAGGATACCAAATGCTAACTGCTGACAGTACGCAGTATGTTGCTATGGTAATGAGCTCTTTCTTTTCTCTGGTAGAAAACCAGGACCAGTCCAGGACCAGTCCAGGACCAGAATTTTGACACAAGGGTTAGGGTTGCCATGGGAAGAATAAGTTAAGATAATTTATGACATAGAAAAAAACGACCTATAGAAACAGAACAAGTCACAAAGTTAGAAGGACCCCTGCCGCTAATACAAAGAAGCCGTTGAGATAAAATCACAAGGTCACAGTGTCATCCAGCCAACTTCAGCTCTACCAATTAAAAGCATCGTACATCGTTTCAAAGCTCAGAACCTTTTGAATCCAATCGTTTGTTTTTGATTGTGTCACAAAATTCCAAATATCTGATGATAATGTAGCTGTGGGGAGAAGATACTTCAGTTCTGATAAATGTGAATCAATATGGAAATGTCAAACCCCATTTTAAAGCTCAGAAAATGCCCGAATACAGAAACGTTTTGCAATCTGTGTTGTCGGCCCCTGGACATGCCGACTGAACTAAAATGGCCCTTGTACTAAAATGTTTGGACACCTCTGGTATAAAGGGTATTTGCTCTGGAGTTCCCTCATGGATCTACAGCCACATTCTCTATTTACCTGGGAACTACTCTCAATGAAAACATAGAATACAGTAACATGTAGATTATTAACACGGTTGAAAAACATTGTTGATCTCGTGATCATGACTTGGTGATGAGATGGTGACCAACCTCAGCGAGCTCATGTTTTCCCTGAAATTGAATACATTTGTTGTATTTGAGGAACAAGAAAGTGGATGGGGACTTTGCAGTTCAAACAGAAATTGAAATCATATTTTCATCTGCCCTTTACAACATTAGATATTACATTTTGTAATGTTGGACACGGTGGCAGAGTGGTTAGCACTCTCTCTTCCCATTAAGAAGGGCCCGGGTTCGAGTCCACCTCCAGACAGGGCCTCTGGTTTCCCCTACCATTAAAAATCCTCCTCTCTCTGGGGCCAGGACTCACCTGACAAAAAGAGATTCTGAAATCTCAGTGGTGAGATTTCCCTGGAGAAAAAAAGGTAAACAATAGTATTAATCAATGTTATATATTATGTTATATTACATGTTACATATTTCAGACATACTTCATTGGGAAATCTAAAAAGGTGCGATGTTGTTGGCTCCATGATACCAGAGCAGTACATACGATATTCCACTATCATTAATCCACTAGTACAGATTATCAGTCTCTAATTTAGAGATCAATACTGCTGCTGTCAGACTGTACAATGAGACCTTATGAGCCTGTACATGTCATTGGTCTGTAAATAAGTAAATACTGCAATCACGTGCAATGTGCAATACTGCAACTTCAGAATGTTCACTGAATGTCACTTTATCTACTTATTACCCTGCCCATTATGTACAGTATATAACTTTGCACTATATGTATAAATACTTTGATATTGATAAAGATTGATATTGAAGGATTTACAGCTAGCTAAGAAACATAGCAGCTACTTACTGTATATTGTATATTTTGTGTGCTCTTACTTCTGTCCTGTATGCGCACAATACAATACAATACAATAAAGTTTATTCTTGTATAGCCCTAAATCACAACAGCAGTCATCTCAGGGGACTTAACAAAACCATTGAAATCACGTTGATAAATGTCCATAAATATAGGATTTTAAAGTGTCCTGGATCATCACCACTGTCCTTCTTGCGCTGCAACATTGAAATTTTCCCACTGTGGGACAAATAAAGGTTCTTTTATTGTATCTTGTCAACTTCTATAAGCTATAACCTTATTAGGCATATTCACCTATCGCTATTTTCAGCTTAAAACACAGAAATACATGTGTTTTTATGTGTGTGGTGTGGTATATGTATGTGGTTATGTTCAAGAGCCCAGTATTACGCTGCTCACATACTATTCATTCAACTATAGACTCATAAAAGAGGAAGCCGGAGCAGTGACATGGAAATACTGGGACAGACTGGCTGCCACGTCCCGGGACACTTTCTTACGCACTATTAGACGGCAGTATAAAGCATTCTGCTCAGATCGGCCTCGTCTTTGTCATGGCTTCAAATCAGGATCCCTGCGTGCGCTCGTCAATGTGGAAAATGCGACGTGGGATGAGAAAGACTGAAGAGGGCACGAAAATGTACAGAAATAACACAGAACATGAGAGAGTAAACACGGCATACGGATGTACAGGGTTTTAAAGGTCTTATGCTTATTCTGCTGCAGGGCGACTCCAGAAACAACAGTCACGTTCAATTACGATGTGAAAAAAGGGAAAAAATAAATTATTTGAAAGTTGGATTCCCTTATTTTCAGAAACACTACAATGTGTTTGTTCCAACAGAGAGAGTGTCATAAAAGTAAACAGTTAAACAGTACGAATACTTACTTACTTACTTAAAATCAGAGCCCAACATGCTCGTTCTTTGTCTTATTAGAAAACATATTTGTAGAAAGAGTTTTGTGAGCCACTATTTGACGTTTTGAGTTTTTCACTTTTCTCTTTTCTTTTTGTCCTTCTGATGTGACAGAGGCCAAATATACTTATTAAAACCACAGAACTATCAAAATCGTTCTGAAATTTCCCATGGAACTAGTTTTTTTTTTCATTTTATACAGTATATATATGTATATTGTTAATTACACAGTATATATTAATTGTGGCTTGAAAGGTAGGTACCCCAGCTTTAATGATGAGCACTTGCTTAGGTAGAGTAAGGCCCTACTTGGCCTTACTCTACTCTACCATACGCTTTAGGATCCGGTACTATATCCTAGCAACGGTAACCGTGGCTTCTTGCAGTACTCTGGCCAATCACTGTCAGTTAGAACACTTTAACCAGTTCAGCCTGGACCAGGGACAAGCAGGTACAAACAGAAGCTGGTACTGGTTAAACTGGGCCAATGGAAACCCTCCCAATCAGGGTAGAGTAGAGCCGAGCAGAATGGAGTAGGACCAAGAAGGGCTGGTGGCAATATATCATTCTACTTTTTACTTTCTCTTAAATAAAAAAACCCGAAAACTAAATAAATAATTAAAACTTTGTAAGACCATTTTGCAAGATACTTATAACTTATTCGTTTGTAATTGTTTTGAATTTATAAAAAAAATACCAGTAAAAAATCTTACACTCAAAAATGAATGAGCCCACGTGAACGCGCGCGTGTGTCCGGGAGCGCGCTTCGTCGTCGTCTTGTTTTTTTTTTTTTCTTTCCAGCAGCAGAGAGTGAGGAGAGTTTCAGTGGAGGGAGGCGAGTCCACAGTCAGGACGCTCGCTGGAAACCCCGCACTTAAAGCAGCTAATGTTTATAGGCTGTGTTTGCATACGCGCTTTGGGGACAACTATGGCGCGGCTTTAGCAGAGCGGGACCCCACTTTTGAAGACCAGAAACCGGACTCATACACAAAAGAGCGCTCCTCCAGTCTGTGCTGAAGAGATATAGACGCGGACTTGGTCTCTGGGTTTTGGGCTCCCAGAGAGATTTGAACCAAACGAAAACAAAAAAAAAAAAAAAATACAGGAGTGAAGAAGAAGTTTGTCCAGGATGCAAGAAGTCTCAACCCCCGGTGAGTGCATTTATAAATATACACAAACTTCACTCACTTTTTCGCGTTTGTGTGAAATCGTCGCTTCTTTCTTTCTTGCGCGCTCGGAATGCCTGTGTTTTTAAACAGTTGTCAACACGGCAGCTGCTCCAGTCTGGGGCCCGCGGGTGTCAGCTCCGGAGCAAGCCCGAGAATCTCAGGTCAAAGTGGGGTGGAAATCGGAGCTTCTGTGCTGATATGATTGAGTGTGGTGTGTTTGCGAGGAGCTGACAATGCAAGAATAGGAGCAACGCCGTGACTGCCCCGTTACGGTCTCTTGTGTTATGATGGCCACGATAGACCCCATTCATTCACTGGACCGTCCCCGTACAGTAACTATAACAGTAAGGGCTGTCCGGGGGTCTGTTTGCTTTGTCAACACTGGGTTTGCATCTAGTTTCATTGAGTGAAGCTTATTTGCTGGTGTTAAAAAGTGCTGTCTGGATGGAACTGCCATTGGGTTGCTATTGAGATTACTTCAACTACAGAGATGGACCAGCAAACAGCAAGATAAGAAACTCTTTATCTGTCCCATAAGGAGAAATGCCAGTGTTGCAGCGCATAATATAGAGTAGTTGGAATGAAAGGAGGGCTCAAAAAGATCAGTATGTAAAAAAATGTAATATCATGCATTATTATTGTAGCAGCAGCATCACAGAGAGGGGCAGACAGAAGCTGGACATGGTCATCGGGAAGTCCAACTCTGTCCTGGGCTGTTCCCTGGACACAGTGCGGCAGGTGGGGGACAGGAGGGTCCTGGATAAACTAACATCTATGCTGGACCATGACTGTCGCCCCATTCAGGACACTCTGTCTGCTCTGGACAGCAGCTTCAGCGACAGACTGATCTACCCTGGCTGTGTGAAGG